CCGCCAATGCAGTACTCCGTGAATGTCGACCCATTGATGCACTCGCAGATCTACCAAGAGCCGCAGCTTTCGTCCCCACTCTGGTCCACAGCAGCTCCCAATGATCATGCTCCGACGCAGCAGTCTGGCAATGGGCCAATGCTCCTTCTGATGCCACCATTGCCAGTGCATTCGTTGTCTCCATCCCCTTTGTCGCCAATGTCCCCATCGCCCTTGTCCCCGACCTTCTCGCCATCACCATTGTCTCCAATGTCAGGCGATTTCTACCCTGGCAGTCCCGTGCGCTGCATGCGGAACAGATGTGCGGACGAATCGCCAGATGTCACCAGTCCGGTGACCAACAGCCGCAGTTCCAAGGGCCCGATCTCAAAGCTACAGGAATTCGTCCAAAGCAGCAAAACACATCCACTTCCCAGCAGTTGTGCAGTGCTTCAGTGGAGTCATGAGAATCGCATGGCCGGATCGAGCCTTCAATTCCGTGCCACCACCTCGTTCTTGCTTGATGGTGTGCCGCACCATGTCCTTGGTGGATGGTGGCCATCCAAAAAGCAATCCCAGCGTGATGCGGCTGAGCGAGCATTGGCCTTCTTCATCGGCATGTGTGGGCAAGAACTGTCAAAGGGACAGCAAGGCAACAGTGGCTACAAATCTCGTGGGCAAAATGATGCCAAGCACGAAGAGGACCCAGAGGTCATGGATTTGCAAGATTTTGTGGGACAGCAGCTGCAGTGGAGCTGCCGGTGGGAGGCGCAAGAGGAGCAAACCCATGACTATGGGGCATTATGCAAGGCCACAGTGGAGTTCACATACCTCGGCATTCCTCACGTATTTGCGGGCAAAGCTTGCACCGGCAAGTCTTTGGCCAAAGCAGATACAGCACGTCGGGTCCTATGGTACTTGCACGCCCCTGGGTATGAGAACGCTTTCGAGGTCGAGCAGGAGCATGTCAAGGCAGTGGGGGTTTGCCAGGTTTAGGTGGTGCACGGTCTTTCATCCTTTGCTTGTTGTAAGACAAGCTTATTTTTTGGCCATATACAAGTCTTATGAC